AAATTCTTGGTGGACCTTCTTTGTCAGCCATAAGTCATGCCATCAGTAATACCTTTGAGCCCCTTCTCCTTCTCCTGTTCTACATCACTTCTGGTAATGCTTCTGTCTCCTTATGCACTGTGCTTTGGTTTATTTGTAATTTTAGTTCCCCTCAGATCATGGTGTTCCAATGATTTGCAACTGTTAACATCAACAGAAGAATGTCAGTATTCATAGGCCTTTCCAGGAATAAGCAGGTTGAGCTAACTGAAATTTCCCAAATGTTACACAAAAGTAACATGAAAATATGTTTTCTTCCTTTCCCCTGCCAAATTGTCTACACTCCAATTAACATTTTTCTCTCAAATCAACCTATGCCTTTCTGCTTTTGCTCACAATGTTTCCCATGCCCAGAATGTTCTCTTCACTCTCCTTCCTTTCCCCAGTCTCAAGTTCATTGAAACCATCTGGTGTCAGCACCATTTCTCCTATGAATACTTTGATCCTTCCCTGATTGGTCCCACTGAGAAATGGACTTTTCTTTACTTGCTGTTTACAGAGTAATGAGCTGGTAATGAAGTGGTAGAATCAAGCATAGTGTTTACAATGGACATTTATATGGTGTTTTATGGTTCTAAAGTTGTACTAGGGGAAATATTAAGTACTAGAGTGCTCTGAACCACCTATACCCTGCTACAAACAATACATACATACATTTATACATACACACATATATGATATATATATATATAAAATATCATATCATTGGATCTTTATATTGATCCTGAGAAGCAGGTAATAAGAGAATTATCATTCCATTTTATAGATGAGAAAACCAAGGTTCAGGAATATTAAATGATTAATCCAACGTCATATAGTTAATGAATGGTAGAGGCAGGCTGGCACCCAGATCTTCTAATTCATGGCCAGTACTTTTCCATTATACTCATGTAATTTTGATTTTTCTGATCAATTGCCCAAAATTAATACCAGAATTATAATTATTATAACTCTAATGTGTAATCTGAAAAATTAGGGCTTTAGGTGCATTAAAACAAACAGCAAGGGAGTATGAATGGATGTTATGCTCATTCACAGTAGTAAGAAACCAATTCAAAACTCATATCATACTGGAAAGGTACAGGACATATTATGGTTCAATTATTCAGCAAATATTTACGGAGCACCCATTATGTGGCCAACATATTCTCGGCCATAAATGAAGTATAAGATATGTTCCCTGCTTTCATTTAGCTTAAAGTCTAGATGGGAGGATGATATATACATACATAATTATAATGAAGTATAAGTGGGAAGTTCTTAAGAATAAAATCATGAGGACATGAAGAGAAATATTTCTTATGAGGAGCAAAGGAGGAAGTTGTCGAAAGAAACCAATGTGGATGCACAGGGAACTCACCACAACTACTTTTTTTAGATTTTTAAAAGATAGGTACAAAAGATTGAGGGCAGCTATGTGGCACAGTGGATAGAGTGCCGGGCCTGGAGAAGAAGACTCATCTTCCTGAGTTCAAATCTGGCCTCAGACACTTACTAGTTGTGTGGTCCTGGGCAAGTCACTTAACCCTGTTTGCCTTAGTTTCCTAATCTGTAAAATGAGCTGAAGAAGGAAAACACAGACCACTCCAATATCTTTGCCAAGAAAACCTCAAATGTGATCACAAAGGGTTGGACAAGACTAAAATGATTGGAGAACAACAAAACAAAATATGGAAGCCCTGGATGAAGGATGACTACAAAAGCATGGCACAGTCCTATAAAAATAGTTTCAGGAGCACTCAAAATGAACTAAGTATGATCAGAAAAACTAAAGACAACCAAAGGGTATATATTTTAAAAAGGCTATATTAGTGAAAAGAAGAGCAAAGAGAGGATACTACTATTGCTTTGGATAGATAGAATGATAATAACAGATGTTAACTTATTTTTCATCTGTTTTTTTTCTGTCTAGTAGAATGATCCGTGAAACAAAAAAGGCAAAGTAAAAATGCCTAATAGTGAACTGTTACCTAAGTTAAGTACAGAGATAATAGGAAGAGGATACCTAGATGCCCTTGATGATTTTAAGACCTGGGCCCAGATAAACTTATCCTAGGTCAGGGGTTCCCAACTTCTTTTGGTCTCCACAACCCCTGGCTTTCAGGAAACCTTCCACATTGAATGGAATAAATTCTAGAGTTTACCACGCATATACACATAAGAAAAAACCTAGGTCAAATTCAACAGGATAATCTAGAGATTTATTAAGTATTCCCCATATCCCCTTGACAAGCTTTTTGTACTCTATGGGAATAAACATGGGTTGGGAACCTTGTTCATCTAGATATTAAAAGAAGTGGCAATTGGGATTGATGAGAATAGGAGAGATAGGTACAATAGGATCGGACAACAGTTGTTCTAATTTGAGTGGAACCTCTTATACAAACTATAAGCCTGTAAGCTTAACTTCTATTGCTGGCAGAACTCATAGAATCACAGGATTTAAGTATTGGAAGGGATGCCAGCGGCCATCTCACATAGCCCATACACAAAAAGAATCCCTTCGTTATATGACACCTTACAAGTGGTCATCTATGTCTCTGTTTGGAGGCAGTTAGGTAGTGAAATGGAGAGAATGCTGGAACTGGAGTCAGGAAGATCTGAGTTCATATTTGACCTCAGATACAGATAGTTGTGTGACCTTGGGCAAGTGATTTAACTTCTGTTTGCTTCAGTTTCATCATCTGTAAAATAGGTGTAATAATAGCATCTACCTCCCAGGGTTGTTGTGAGGATCAAATGAGATATTTGTAAAATGCTTGGCCCTTAATAGGTGCTATATAAATGCTTACTTCTTTCCTTTTTAGTCTGGAGAAGACAGGTAGCTCTCTTTAAGTTACTTTGAAGGAAGGGCTATCATGTAAAGGAGAGGTTAGATTTAGGCCTTGGATCACAGAATTAGGAACAGTGCAGAAAGCTACAAAGAGGCAAATTTAGTCTAGATTTCACAAAAGTTTTCCTCACACTTAGAGCTATTCAAATGTGTATTTGGTTGCCTTGGAGTGATGAGTCATCTCCACTGGATATCTTCGAGCAAAGGTCAGGTGACATCTTGAAAGCACTAGATGCAGGAGATTATTGCTTAGGTGGCAGAGATGATGTCTGAGGTGCCTTCCAACTCTCAGATTTTGTAAATGCCGTAGGGCTGGGACAGGCTGTAAGGGCCACAGGAGGTTAGAGGAGGGGTGATCAGTAAAGACTGCATGGAATAATATTTGACTGTTTTAAAGTCTCAGGTATCCCCTCTGACCAGAACAATGTATGTCTTATTTGTCTGTTTGGTGCCCAGAACAGAGCTATTTGTAAGCAGGTGGTCTAAGAATATCACCTGATAACTCTGCCTCTGCCCCCTCCATACAAAGATGCAGCTTAGGACAAGTATACTTTCCACTTGTGGCTGAGGAGGAAAATGCTTTGGCTCATAATGGTGCAAAAGATTCTTTGGTGGGCTTGGGGCAGTGAATACACCAAATTCTTCTTACAATAGCCAAGAGACTGTGAACATTCAGTAAATATTAAGTTATTACATCCTCCCCACAGGGTCGTTGTGCAGATCAGAGGAGATAAGGTGCTTAGCACAATGCCCCACACATAATAAGGACTTAATAAATGCTTGGTCCCTTCCCTTCCTCCTGGGCCACCAGCATATTTTAACCAGGGACATAATGGAAAAAAGAAAAACAATATGGTGTAGTAGATAGACAGCTGGTCTCAAGTCCAGTATGGCCAGGTATGGATTTCCCACATATCGTCCGTGACCCTGGGCAAGTGTTCTAGGTCAAAGATGTCAAGCATATGTCTCAATACTCCTCAGTACCGCAGGAATCAGATTAAAATGAAGTAGGGAAATATTTAAATAAATAAGACAACAATAAAACATAGATAACATTACACTTCAAAACTAAGTCAATCAGCCCTCAGGCATCTTTATGCATGAATTGGAGGCCTCCATTTCTATTTGTTGACACCGAAGTCTCACATTTGTCTAAGGCTCTAATTTGCAGACAATGTCCACTCGCATTGGTAGAGGGCTCTTCCTCACCTGTGGAGTCCCCCATGCCAAGGAAATCACAGGTTCAGTCTCTATTTCATAAAAGAAAATAATGGTCACACAGGACCCAATGGGACCCAAGTGACAATTCTAACACACCAGTCCTCATTTATGTATATTCAGATCAGTTTTGTAGACTATTCTTCAAAACGATTTGTCCCCTTCCTCTTTTGCAAGGATTTCTTTTTAGCTTCCGGCTTCGGTCTAGAAGGTAGGTGGGTGTGTCTTCCCTTACAGAAGCCCAAGATATTCTCCCTAGGGCAAACCACTGCACACTACTCAGGATCTGTGTCCCTGTTTATTCCCCATTATGGTTCAGGAAGCGCCAAATGGGAATTTCTTTTGGGAAATCGCTGGTCAGCAGAGCACAGAATCTCGTACTCCAGGTGTCTTGCTTCCTTTCCCTACCCCTCAACCGTATGGGTTTTCGAGGAGGTGACAGTTAACACGAATACCACGTTTTTCTAAGAAATTGTAAAGAGATTGGGGATAGGGTGGGGATCTCTCTCTGTCGGGTCTTTGTGTCGTGGGGAGGGGAGGAAAAGAAAGCAAAGTGCCATCTACCCCCATTCTCTCCCTACTCTGAGCATCCCGAGGCTGGGGGGCAGCGCACAGTCCCCTGTCGTCCCCGCCCCCCATTCTCTTTGCAGGAGGGCGGGTTGGCGCGTGCCGCAGGGAAGCCGCCCGGGCTCCTGGACAGCGGCATCTGCAGCTACGCCCTAAGTCCCTGGGGACACCTCCTGCCCTTGCAGCGTGCGCTTCTGTTACTCCCCGGGCCCTGGCCGCAGGTGAGGCCAGCGGCCGCCCTCTCTGCCACCAGAGCCACCGCCACCGCCCGGCGTGGCCGTGGCGGGGGCTGCTGCGCCAGTAGGTGTGTAGGGATGATCTCACTCGCCCACTCCGCGCCAGGAGGAGGAGGAGAAGGAGGAGCAGGAGCAGGAGCGGGAGGAAGCCCAACTTCCGGGTAGTAGGGCGGCAAAGCACCGGCATCATTCTTTTTCTACCCCCCTGGGCAGCCCCCTCCCCTCGTTTTTCCCCTTTCTCGCCCCTCTGCCTTCTCCCCGCTCCCTGCTGCCGACATGAACAGCTCGGACGAGGAGAAGCAGCTGCAGCTCATCACCAGCCTGAAGGAGCAAGGTGAGGGGGCCACCCGCGGGGAGGGGGCGGTGGCTGCTGCTGCAGCTGCCCACCAAAGGGTGGGGGAGGGGGGAAGGTAGGGCGGGAGAGCTAGCGAACGCCCTGCCCTGGGCAGGTGGAAGCTGGGGTGGGGGGTAGACTGCCCCCTCCCTTTCCTCTCGGCCTTTTGCTGGGGAGAGGCGCTCCGAAAGCTCAGCCTCGATCCCTGGGAGCCTTATCCCACGGCTGGAGACTGCGGGGTTCAATAGCCCTAGCCCAGAAAAATGCAAAGCATCGAGGAAGGCGTCCGGAGGTGGGGAGCCAGGGGCCCCGGCTGCCATGGGTTGGGCGGGACAAAGACACGAAGACACATTGCGCGTGATTGCCGGTTGCCCTGCATTGGTATGGGCAGGGAGGGTACCTTTAGATAAATGCTGCCTCTCTTTCCAAGCCCTCCCTGATCCCCACCCTCCAAATACCAGAGACTCCCAGGCCTGTCAGATTTCTCCTGGTCCTTTCCCTCTTCTTCAATTCTGGCTTGGACTAGTTTCCATTCTCTAAACCCCCTCCCCCATTTCAAAGCTAGGTCATGTTTTTCCAGGCCAGAAGGTGTTTTATCACTTACCATTTTTAGTAACTTATTAGACAGTAGGTCAACACTCCAGCTATGTGGGGAATCTCTGCTTTTAGCGAGATCAGCTGCTGATATCTGAGTGAGTGTGTGGATTTACTTGTCTCTGCATACTATTTTATGGGTTTTGACCAGTTTCTCTTGAAGATTAAAAAAGAAACCCTCAAGATAATCAAATATTATTTAGAATTAAAGCTGTCAGCCAGTGAGTATGAACTTCATACTCCATATGCTTTCTGCTCCCACCCCAGGATGGCCTGTGTAAGTGATTTCCAAGAAAAAATGTAATGCAAATTCAGGAAGTGAGAATTTATAGAAATGCACATTTTTCTAGATGACTGTTGACTGAAAGGCAGGGTCTATTCCTCACTCTCTCCAGATTACTCACTGGCTGTGTCCTTGGAGTAGTCACTTAATCTCTCTAGGTTGCCTCATTGGTAAAATTGGGATACTAATAGTTTACTCCCCTGAAGGCCAGAGATTAAACTAAATAGCTTGTGACACTCTAACAACTATAGAAACTGTGAATGATTCTATACAATCGTACATACAATAGCAGAAAAAGTGTGGGATAAGTCACAAAAGCTCACTGTTTCTCTTGTTTAATGACTTAACTAGGATTAATAGGCCATCTCAATTTCTCTTATGGATTGGTGAGGGTGGATGGATGGATAGATGAATGAATGAAGGAAGGAAGGAGGGAAGGAAGGAATGGATGGAAAAGCATTTAAGTGCTTATTGTGTGCTAGGTTCTATAGTAAGCACCAGGGATAAAAATAGGATAAGCAATACAGGCTCTGTCCTCAAGGAGCTTACATTCTGATAGTGAAAGATAGACAACACATATACTTGAGGGGTGGTTGGCCAAGGAAGTCACTGGGCTGGTTAGTGGAATCATAGAGCAACTAATTGTTATGTCTTTACTCATATAGAAAGAATCTGTGATTTCTTTCTAGGTAAGTTTTGTGGAGTTGTCTTAGATTCAGAGAGGTTGAGGGAATTTCTCAGGGTCACATATGTTGGAGGAAGGATTTGAACCCAGCTCTTCCTGACTTGTCCCCACACTTTATTTTACCCCTCCCCTTTCACTTCTTCCAATAGTCATCTTTATGGCTAGTTTTTTAAATCTGGAAAAAACAACTTAAAAGATTGCTGTTTCTTATGTCAGCCCTGCTTTTCATGACCCCAGGAACAAGTACCAGTTCTTTTAATATGCAGTCAAATCTGAAGATAAGCCGTGTTTTTTGTTTTTTGTTTTTTAACTTTTGCCTTTGGAATTCATTGCCATTTATTCATATATTTAACAAATATTTATTAAATGCCTCTTTTGTGCCATGTGTTGTGCTAGACTATGGAGTGGGAGGATGTGGTTTTGTGAGGAAGGCAAGAAATATCTTCCTAGTTCTGATTTACTCATTCAAGGTAGTAGAATAATGAGGTAAGGGCAAAATTTGCTGTAGGTAATCCACATTATTTAGCTAGCACAGTGCTAGGCGCATTGTATTAGAATGACAATGACTTAGACTATTACACTTGAAAGTTATCTCAGAATTTAAAGGATCATAAGACTGAGAACTGGAAGGGGCCTTAAAGGTCTTTAGTCGAATCCCCACATTTTATAAGAGGAGACATTCTTAGAGAAGCCAAGTCACTTGATCAAGGTCAACTTCAGTTAGTGGTAAAGTTAGGCCTGGAAAACCATTTCTTGATTTGTAAAGTCACTGGTCTTTCCTCTTCTCTAGTGCTCAATAAATATTTGATTACTATATAAACAAGTATTCTTTGTACTTGGCTAAAGCTGAAACAATGGGTGCATTTTATTCTTGCACTAGAAACTCAGCCAGGGACATTGTGCTGGACTGCCTTTGTGACAGGGATCCCTAAACTGAGTAGCTCATGAGCAACATTTTGTTTCTGAAACTTTCCAGGAGGTAATTCACAGACATAGATACTTTGGAGAGAGAGAGAGAGAGAGAGAGAGAGAGAGAGAGAGAGAGAGAGAGAGAGAGAGAATGAATCAATCAATTTTAGAAAGATTCACAAAATAACATAAATTTACAAAATATCTTTAATAATAGCAGCATTATATAGTGCTCTAAGGTTTGCAAAATGTTTCATACACACACATACACACACTCACACACACATACATATATATATTCATATAAAATCTCATTTTATCCTCACAACCTTGTGAGGTGTCATTATCATCCCCATTTTATAGATGATGAAACTGAGGCTGAGAGATTTTAAGGGATTTGCCAAGCGTCACGCAACTAGAAATTCTCTGAGGTAGAATTAGAGCTCAGGACTTCCTGACTCCAAGTCCTGCCCTATGTAGTTCTTCCCCCACGACACCTAGCTAGCTGCCTCTATCTAATCTCTAACCCAAGCTTTGTCTCTCATCCTGCACCCTCAAGGAGAGAGAACACAGTGGAGTTGGGAAAGAGTGTGCTTGTTCTAATCCCATCTGTTGATCTGACTTGCAATTTGAATCATGAATCATTTTAGGGCCTTGTTTCCTCATTTCTAAAATGAAGAGCTTGTACTAGATGATCTCTAAGGTTCCCTTCAGCTCCAAAATGTTATGGTTTTATGTTCTACCCCTTTAGAGTTCAATTTATAGGTCTGGCCAATGGCTGATGGTTTAGTCAACAGTCTTTTCTTCATGAAGCCTCTTGGGACCTCCTTTACATCTTTCTTATACCCTACCACCCTAGAGCTGACCATTTATTAACTGAGAGTGGGAACCTTCAATATAAAGCACATATTGATTATAGAAGTCTCCTTTCAGTGGGTCATCACAACTGCATGAGTTCGTGTTAGCTATCCCTTTCCTTCTGGTTCTGCCTTTGGATTTCCCTTCCTCCCTTCCCTCCCTTCCTTCCTTCCTCCTTCCGTTCCTTCCTCCTTTCCTTCCTTCTTTCCTTCCTTCCTTGTTTTTTGTTTTTGGTTAGGCATATTATTTCATTGGTATCCAGAGGAATCATCCTTCTGAGAAACCATTCCTCTACCAATGCAGTAGTGAATGTTTTATGGTTTGCAGGCTTAGCATGCTGCCTAGGGTACTGAAATATTTGATAACTTGCCCAAGATCAAATAGATGGTTTGCAACAGGTAAGACTTGAACCCACATCCTCCTGACTTTGACCCTAGCTCCTTATTATCCACTATGCCACAATGCCTCTTGTTTTCAGATTAAAAATTTGTGAATTTGTGGGATAAGCCATCACCTATTTTGAACACTCATAGTAGAAAAGTAAAAAGTCAGGAATTGGTACCTGCAAACATCATGTTCCATTGGTGAAGGCCATCTCCAGAGGTCATGGAGTGGCAGAGATACTTTTTGAAACTCGACTCTCTTGAAATGTATATCTACTTTTGAATTGTTCATACCTTTAGTCATTCAGGCATTGAGACCTTTTAATACGGAACATAATTTTTTAATCCAGCTCCAGCAGTATAAATAGCAGGGGTGTGTACTTGGTTCAGAGCTAAGTGATGATAGGTGACTTGATTTCATTAATTTTTCAATGCCATTTAACCTTATTATTTGAGAAGCTATGGTTTTGAGGTGGAAAAGGTGGGGGTCAAAGAGATAACTTGATGAACATTCAAAGGTGTAATGGAAAAAGCATTGATTTAGAGTTGAGAGGCCAGAGTTTGGGTCCTGGTTCTGTCCCTTTCTATTGTTCCAACTCAGTAGGTTTTAGTTTTTGTTGTTCGTTTTTTTTTTTTTTTGCTTTTGATTCATCCATTTTCTATCTGTCTCCACTTTATATTAACAAATGTGATAAACATTTTGTCTTTGCTGTGTCGCTTTGAACAAGTCACTTCAGAATTGGAAGGGATCTTAGAGATCAGTATATCCAACTCCCACCTGAAACCTTTCTTGTTGTTGTTCAGTCATTTCCAATTGTGTCTGAGTCTTCGTGACCCCATTTGGGGTTTTCTTGGCAAATATACTGAAGTAGTTTGCCATTTCACTCTCCAGCTCATTTTACAGATGAGGAAACTGAGGCAGATAGGGTTACATGACTTGCTCAGGGTTACATAGCTAATAAGTGTCTGAGGCCAGATTTGACCTTAGGAAGATGAGTCTTTCTGACTCCAGGCCTGGCATTCTATCCACTGTGCCACTCAGTTGCCCTAACCTGAAACATGAATCTCTACAATAATGTCCTTAACAAGTGGTCGTACTGCCTCAGCTTAAAGACTTGTAGTGCCAGGGAACCCACTACCTCCAGAGGTACTCATTCTGTTTTTTTGAAAGTTCATATTACTAGAAATCAGACCTCCTATTGAGCCCAAATCTGCCTTCTTATAACTTTTTACCCAGTGGCCCTAGTTTCCTCTAGGGCCATTAGAACAAGTTGAGTCCTTCTTTTAC